CACACACACTCACAGCTCCTCTTATCAATGCACATCTCCAGGGATCGATCTTGTACCTTGTTTGCGAGCGCCAGAGATAGCCCGGGACCGCAGAGAGAGGCCCAACGGAGAAAAGGAGCAAAGAAAAAGGGGAGGCACAAAACAAAATGCCAAGAATGGGGAAATTTCTCGCACACCAAACCACTCCGTTGCGCGGGGACCAGTTAACGGAAGAAAGGCTGACGGCGCCATTCAAGGTGGTGGCGCCGTCAGTGAGGGTGGTGGGGCCACTGACGGCAGCACACACCGGGAGCCTCGTACGGCAGTGACGGTGACGGAGTGCCGTCACCGTCACATGGTTGAATTGCGGGTGCCCCAAAGTACGCGGGCCACCTGCATTGGCACAGGGAGGATATAATATGGTCCAGTGTACTTTGCCCTAAGGGCTTGGTGTAAATGCGCGGTAAGGCCAGGCCCCAGCTAAGGGGTGCGTCCTTCTCGGGTCGCTGTTTGCATGTGTGGTTCGTCGCTATATGGTCTCTAGCGAGCAAATTTCTTTCTTTTCTCTTCATAATCGCCTTTTTTTTTCGCCTTTTCTTTTTCTTTCTCTCTGTCTTTTTCTGTCTTTTCCTTTTCAGAAAGGCGGAAAATAATAAGAAAAAAAAATGGGAGAAAAAGAAACATGGATCATGTTTGCTTGCTTCCTTGTCCTTTCTAAGATTGCCAGGCTTTGCTTTGCGCTCCAGAGGCTCTGAAGAGCCTTCTTTTAATGAGCGAGATCCTTGTCTTCCAGGATCCGAGGTTGGGTTTACCCTGGCATTGTTTACCCTGGGGTATATTCCTCCCCCATTGTTAAAGAAAAGGAAAAGAGAAAACATAGTGGAAACATGTCAGCCCGGGAGATCGAGCTTGCTAATCATAAATTTAACCTTGGCGTGGATGGCGGGGCTCTAAACTATATAAGATAAGCATACATAAGTTTGATCACACCTATCTACCTTAAAACTCGGTGGGACAATGCACGATGGAAAAAATTCCTCCCTTGCCTTTGTGCTGTGCCCCTCTCTCTGTGCTCGCCTGATTGATTGATTCCAGCGGTTCAATTCAACCCATCCCTCGAAGCCAGTGCATTCTTCCTCAAAGAAAGAGGCCCCACCGGAAAGAAAGATAGAAAAGCTCGCGACCCCTCCTAATTGGCCACAGGATCATTCCGTACGCTCGTCCACACCACCAAACATGATTGTGGCACTAGAGTTGTGTAAGAGGATCACGTGTTGTGTGAGAGGCGAGCGTACGGACGGAGATTATTCCATTCCATATCCGGTTTGTTTAAGCGCGGAAAACTTCCGCCAGCCACGACTATGCCTCGTATCGGACGCTTGGATCGATCTTTTTCCTCAGGAACATTCAATCGCAGCTAGGCATCAGATCGGTCCGGCTGTGATCCTTTGTTAATCTTTCTTCTGCGCAATATATGTATATGTTATGTGTGTGTGTGTGTGTGTCTAATCGTTGTTTTGTGATTCCAATGCGTGATAGTGAATAGGGAAGATAGTCAAAATGGGATCCAACGACAACAACGTATACATCTCTCTCGAGGACAATGCAGCCGGATCGGATGTTGTGCCCCCCTTTGAGATCTATATATACTAAACATTTAATTTCCAAAAAGAATATGGCCACCACCAATTGAAAAAGCTCGTCGAATCTATTTGTTTTAGCGGCATTGTCACGCCTTCCAGAGCGCTAGAAGAAATAAACAACTTATCGAAACACCTGGGGCCGTGTAGCTCCTTTTGCCTGTGTGCTTTGCTTTTGCGATTAGAAAACCACTAAAACTTCGCTGTGCACACACACACACAAGTTACAAGCGAATGATGGGCCTCAAAGTTTCGTGAAGCACCTCCTAGACAAGTGGGTCAATTATTGGCAAATCATATTATTTATGGAATTAGAGAAAAGGGTCGCAGGGAGCAGTCATTGCGATGATTGCTGCGAGGGAGAGTGATCAGCTCTTTAGTGGAGATGTGTGTACTTTGACGGATCCCTGTCACGACGAGGACTTGAGCCCTGGATCGATCGCCCCGGGGCTGTTGATATCAAGCAAACAGTGACCCCTGGGGGAGCTCCAGTTTACAACTAGGCTACTCGCTCACGCTTGCTACTATACGAGCCACCATTTACATAAATGAGAGGCTCTTGGAATCTCGCCTGTTCTCGCGGGCTCGAAGGATGGAACAAACATTCCTTTCAGTGGGATGGGAACTCAATGACAACTTTTATGACGCTAACAGTGAACACGTTAGAATGTAGGTGCACCAGCTTCAAACAACAGCTGGGCGCTGGAATCGACCGCCCGCACGAATGCACAAATACAGGGTACGTATATTTCAAGGTAGTGTTTTGTTGGCGCGCTACTAGTTTGTTTGTTTGTTGGTTTGTTTTTTCTTGGCTATCTTTGCAAAGGGTTTTTAAGACCTCCGCCAACCTTCCATTTAGGGATCCTCACAACAAAGACGTATACTTCCATTCAAAGCGGAGTCAAGGGGGAGTGCCGAGTAAGGTGTTGTAAGGCATTCCTGCTGACAGATCCCCATCTTTGCCAATCTTTCCTTCTTTTGATTGCCACTATACCAAACAGTCAAATTCCTGTTTGAAAGCGTAGTTTATGAGATCAAACTTGTGTTGAGGGAATGCTCTACTTTCTTTGGCTTCTGGCCCTGAGATCTTGACAAAAGGAGGAGCGCTCAAGCAAGGCCCCAATACCAATAATGATCCCCAAACAGCATATGATGTTGGCCCACATTCTTAATGCGGTTGCCAAAGCGTGGTGCGCGTTCTAGTCTGGCCCCCTTGACTTACGTCACCGTTTGGTATGCAAACGGAATAAACCCCAAGGATCCACACTCGTTAGCGTTCTAGAATCCCTTCCTCTCTTTTCCTGTTTGCTATGAAACTCTTTCCCTTTTCAAGGATTATCACACCCTCAGTTCAGCCAATATCAAAGCAAAAGGCTTTCTCATGATCTACGAAACAAGTTTCTTAGACATGGACCACCACCACCCATGGACCACCACTGAGCAAGCAAGCAACTTGAAGTACTGTTTGTCTTCCAAAGGGGCAAAAGAAAAGCTTCTCCTTCGTTCTTCTCAAGAAAAGATAACCAGTGGAAGGAGAGATTCCGGGGGCGCATCTCTATCTTATTTCGTGGAATTCAGCGCATTTTGCTGGACCAGCAGCATCAAGTTGCATTCGCTCTAAAAGCTGTACATCACAGTCAATCCGTACCATAAGGTTTTTTCACAAATCAGTATATAATCAGGTTGGTGGACGATTCATTAGGGCACCAAGATTATCACGTGCCTTGGAACGATTCAAATTTCAAAATGCCATGCCCACTTTGAAAATGGAGGAGTTGCACGTTCGTCCCCACGCACACGTATCCAAGAGATGATCCCACGCTAAATAAGAATGCGAATACAAATAAAACCACAACAATACAACAATGCATAACTTTAAATAATGTTAGCCTCACTTGTTTCTATCAAGCAATGTGGCCTTGCTTGGGCTGTGGTACTTTTTGTTGAAAGGGTACCTTTGGGTGCCTGCACAAACAATGATCTGCCAATGTTGATGGCCGGCTTGTCAACTATGGGACGAAGCCCTCTCCAGGCGAGTTAAAACTCCAATCTTGAAGTGGATGGATGGATGGGATGTGAATGTGATTGAGAGCGTTAGTGGTAGTAGCATTGGTGAGTACTTGCAGACAATATGCTAGAAGGATAGGCGAGACAATTTCTTTCGGTTTTTTTTTTTTCTCTTTTTACAAGGTTTGGAAAGCAAAAGCTTTCCCTTATTTCATTACAGTGACCCGGCAGTGACCTAGATGGACCTTGGGGGTCCACATTGCTCGTATTGAATAGGAATGTAAAGGATGGATTTGGCTCTAGGTGTTTGAATCCAATCAACTTCAGGTTCCAGGCTTTAGATTTGAGGTTTCATGCATTGCCATCGTTATTTTCTTCTTGAGGCTTTCAGAAGATCATGCCAGGGGGAAGAGGCAGAAAACACATCGTCATTGACAACAAGATCTTTCTAGCTTTCCTCTTGTAATGTGACTGCAATGAAGAAAGAAAACTTTTTAAAGTGTTTATTTTTATATTATATGTTTGGATGATAGATACATACCACTTTATGCAGTCCAGGAACCACATAATTTACTGCTGGGATGTAATATTTGACTGGCCAAGGACTCAGATTTGGATTGAGGGGGATCCCTGCCTAGTGAGAACTTTCACCTGTCTCTACAGTGATTGATTCCTCTCCTGTGAATCAATCACTACGGTGATTCCAAAGGTATAATCCGGAGTTTGGTGTTGTTGTTCCATTTCTCTGTCAACTAGGCAACAAAAATGGTTTTCCAGATCTCTGGCCACTTTGGACACAGGACTGCAAAGGAAGAGCTTCAGGAACAACATGGAGCTTGCAACCAACCAGAATTGGACTGTGCTTGCTCTCTTCCATTCCACTTAAAAAAAGTATTAAATTTCTTACAACACATTTCCCTTTCTTATCTCATCCAGCTTTCCTTCTCTTTCTGTTCTCTCTGTGTTCCTCTGGGTTTTCTCCCATGATGATCTCATAGCTACACTTTAAACTCTTGCCACTCCACAACACAGAGATCCCAGATGGCACGTGGCAAAGGATCTCACCAACAGCGATTCCAACACGTGGCCCGCGGTGATTCGCTCGGCTGGCTGCCTAGCTAGAGGCTAGAATGGAGAAAGCGATATGTAGTTCACTCTGGAGACCATTAAGTTAGGGAGCAAGTGTAAAAGTGCGGCATTAAAGTAACTGGAGACTTCCCCACTAGAGGCCCGATCCAGTTAACGTTCCCCGGTTGAGCCCTGCCCTAGATAGAGGCGTTAGTTTGCATCTTGTCAGTAACGAGGGGATTCCCTCCCACGTGAAGAGAATATCCTGGGGTCTTCCCTCCCATTTTACCCTAGAGCTGAGAATGCCGGGGCGGTGCGCCGGAGCGACGTCAAATCCACGATCCAGGTACGCGATAGTCGGATCAGTCCTGTTCCTGGCATGATCTTGGATTCTTGGCGCCTATTTCGGTGTCCTTGCAGCAATCGGCAGAAATTTCTAGGTGTCTGATCCATGGCTCCATCTCCATTCAAGTTCCTTGTAGCGATTCGCGTGTTTTCTTCGCATTCATGCATTTGGAAATTCCCAGGCATGGACCGGACTGCACTGGGGGACTGTTGTAGTGCAGAGACAAAGATTGGCGCTCAAAGCAACGAGCTGGAATCGTGGCTTGGAGCGTTTCTCCAGGTACTGGCATTTTTTTTCGCTTTAGAATCCGGACTGCCTAGCTATAAAAACTGATAAGAACTTTGCTGTTATCCAGTGGACGCCAGGCCGGGTCCGGCTATGCCAGTCAAGTGTTGGGCAAGAGGAGTAGCGCGCTTTTTAATGCAGCAAAGTGAACTTTAAGCTTGGCGCAAAATCCAGGTAAACTGTTGTATGCTTTCTCTTGGGTTACTGTACCGCTTTCACATCGGCGTTATTTGCTGCTGCCAGGGTTCTACAAGTTAAAATCATCCAACTTCAGCAAATAGAACCAAGAAAAGATGTGGATCGTCCAGAGAGCTCTCAAGGCGCGGTTGATATATATACCAGACAAGTTAAAATGGAGACAAGCTCCTATTGTATCACTGCAGCCTCGCGACACTTCATCTGTGGCGCACTGGCAGTTTTAATTGATCGCAAGGCAACAACGCCATGACTCTCAATCAAGGTCTCAGACATGCTGATGGAATTCGGCCTCAACATCGCCACGTCTTGTTCCTGCGTAAGCTCTACATTCTCGGGCTTCCTTTTTTAATAGACGTGTTCCTTTCCTCAGGCCAGAAGACAAAAGCGCATATTGGAGCTCAAACAGTGCTTTCAAAAGGTTAGATTTGTTGGCGTGTTGATTCAATGTGCTTTGACGTTTTCCGCCGGCGGGATTTGTACACTTTTCTTCTTTTAACTAGTTCATCTGACAGACGGGCTGGAGGAGTTGTATGTATCACTGAAATACAGCATGAAGAGGTTCTAAAAGGTAAAAGTTTGGCAAGTACAGGACGTTGGCCAACATTTTCGCGTGTTAGACTTGAAATGACGTGCTTACCTTTTGTGGAACAGTGGAGGATTTGGAGCAGAGAATATCAGTGCAAATTGACTACCTAGACACCACTACCCCAGTAGCGCGATTTGGACGAACTGGTGTCAATGTAAGGTCTGGAGAAGCTAGTACCAGATCTGCGAGGCCGGACGCTGCACAGGTAAGCTTTGTCATGTCGCTTTTCAGCTTTTGATGTTCAGCGAGACAAATTCGAGTTCTGTCAAGCGAAGAGCAAGTGGACGACAAAAGTTAAGTTCCTCTTGTTGGTTTTCAAAGGCTGTGGTGGACTCCTAAGTGTGTGTGCTGTGTTTAGGAGGGAGTAAAACAGTTTAGATTGGAGCTCAGGTGTCGAAGGACCGACTCTGATTCCCAGAAAGCATCTCTTAAAGTTTCTAGAGCTCACGAAAGTGTGGCCACCCACCAAAGCAAGATGCTTTTTGGTTGTTCGCTTGCTGCTTTGGCGGAGGGCCTAGCCACGGCCAGCCACGTGATAAGTGCATCGTAAAAGGCCAAGGACGAGCATGGAGATGATGGCAGGCAGGAGCGGCTCTCTTCCAACTCCAAAGCCTTCTGTTTTGGAAACAGTTCTTGCCCCACTCACTGGGCTGCCGCTGCTGCTGCTGGCACAGTGGACTGTTGCTGTGACAAAAATTATTGGCCTTCTTTCTTTTGGTTTTCTTCTTCCTTCCAGCACGCACACTGCTTTGAGGTACGCTTTCGTGGCATCTCCTTTGCATTTAATGAGTACGAATTGTGATAATAATGGGCTCAGGTTGGCAGCCTCAGCGCTTGGAACCCCATCTTCTTATGAACATGATTTCTAAAGTGGCTTCCAGATGCTACGTCGACCGGACATGGAGGAGAGGTGACGATGATTTCTATCTTCCATTTCATGACCACTTTTCGAGTCAGCGAGCAGCACGAAAAGTAAGACGAGAGCTGATTTTGTTGGTGGAAACTTCTGCAGATCACACACCGTGGAGTTTTTAGATCTTGGGACCCGTATGATTCCAGACGAAACAAACGTTTGAACAGAGAGGAGACCAACGACTTGTCAGTACAGAATCGGCATCTCTCTTTTTTTCTTCCGAAACTTTTTCCATCAATGCTACCAAGTTGCGAGCGAGAGAGAGATACAACATGAGATATGACAGCTTGGTGGTGGTGCATCTGTTACAGCGCGAAGCACAAGACAGACACGAATCAGTCTCTCTCTCACAAACACATTGCCTCGAAACCGAAGATATTAACCAGCCACGACCGAAAATCAGCCAGGTAATTGACACCTTACTACATACAGCTGAAGTGCAATGACTTCACTTCCACTTATAGGTGATGCTACGAACGGACGTAGCGAGACGCAAAACTGTCTTCTTTCTCTTCCATAAGCTTCTTCAGGCTGCATTTATCAAGGGCCAAGTCACGGTACGGTATGGAATTTTGCTTACCGTGCATTTTCTTTTGCATCCAGTGTATTCGACTCCTCCTCCGTGAGAACTTCAACGAAAGGCTCGAACAGTTCCCACTCCGTTTTCTTCCTGCAAGGAGAAGCTCGCTCGCGTTTCAAACAAATCGAAGGTTCTTGAACTCACCTGATTATGCTGATCTTATTATTGGGCCGTCGCATTAAGTTGAGTGCAGTTGTTCCGGAGGTGCTGCCAGAGAGAAAGAAAAAGATTGTCAATCAGTATCACCCTCAACTTATTGGTATAGAAGATGGCTACGTTGCATGGTTGAATTCTATCCCCCTCTCTCGACGAGCTTTCTTTGTTATCCTCGTTTCTCGGGCTGATGTTACATTCTGTTTGGCTATCTGCAGGAGGAAATAAAGATTTTATGATCAAGAGGTGAAAGGGGTGCTTACTTCGTACAGTTGCTCTCGAATTGCAAACGCGATCCCCGGCTAAATTGCCAAAAAGTCAAAACGATTATGGCTGAAGTTAAAACATACCGCGACTTCAGGATCCTCGATTTCAAGGTCCTTGCACAAGCCTCTCGCAAAACCCTCTGGATCGCTCTCGAAGTCACCAACATCCTGAACAGGGGCGTCAGTTTTGAGACCAACAAAAAATTCTCTCGTAAGTTTTACCCATAAGAACTGATCACGTATAACGATGTTGTTGATTCTCAGGTCCAGCTGCGCGAGAAAAAGGAGAAGTAAACGAGAGGAGGTTCTCTATCACTGACAAAAGAGGTGACTTACCTTCAGCATTAGGACTTTCTCTTCAGTGCTAAGCTGCTGTGCTTCCAGGGAGCGGAATTCGTTCAGCTGCGCCTGGAAACATCAACACAAGGGCCGAAAAACACAGCGTAAGAGTTGCCAGTTTCCAGCTTTCTCGAACATACTTGCATGGATTGGACAATGTGCTGAGTGAAAACAGGCGGGAGGTTCATTTCGGCCACTAGGCGCCGAGCGAAAGGCATGATCTCCGAGTCCCTCTCTAGACAAGCAAGTAAAGTAGGTAGTGAGAAGAAAACGTGAGCTTCCATTCCAGGCACAAAGACTTTACTCACCGTGAGCGTTCCAGGAGAAGGAATCTTTGAAGCGGTGGGAGTCGAGCTCGATGTCGAGCCTCATGGGAATGAGATTCTCTGCCGTGGGCCTGTCACGCCATCAAAGGTACCAAGATAAATCTCTTCCTTTTTTCTCTTGCGGGACTTACATTCTAAAGCCGCCATAGACTGGCCGCGGCGCTGCCGGTGTCCTCATCGTCGCTGCTACTCGGTTTTAGGGCTTTATATCCTCCGGGGAGAACCCAAATTCGTCACGTTTGGTTAAAGTAAAGCAAGAGTGGACGTGCCGGAGTGGTTATCGGGCATGACTAGAAATCATGTGGGCTCTGCCCGCGCAGGTTCGAATCCTGCCGTCCACGACATTTTTAAGTCTGAAATATTCGTATTTGTGTTTTTAGTTGTAACAGACCATATAATTAAAATGCTTAGACTATGCCCTTTGTCCAGCTTAAACAAAAACCTCAAGATAGGTTTAATTTGTGTTTTTAGTTGTAACAAATCATATAATTAAAAGCTGGAACTTTTTGAAAAACCTAGAACTGGCACTTTGCAAGGGCCAAAGTGGGGCTGATCACCGTTTCTTTTCTTCGTTTTTGTAGTCTTGCTGCTCTTCGCCAGTATGGTCGGATCTGGAGGACGTATTCATCAGACTATAAGCCATGGAAGTACAAAGTAGAGCTTACCTTCTCTCTACTCGGCTACTGGTGATGGCGGCTTTCTTCAACTACCCCGAGAGCTTTCTTGCACAGGTCAAAGACTTTGGTGTGATACTCCGTAACACAGCTAGCATCTGGAAAATAAAAGCAACAGACGTCTCGCTTTCGTCAACTGCTATCTTGTGGGAATTTATCAAGGATCCAAAAGCAGCCGGGCCCGAGGGACAACCAAATGCCTTTAAACACACGCATAGGTAAAGAAACAAAAGTCCTCACTGAAGCAAACCTTGTTGAAAGGCTTCCAGCACTGCTTTGGCCTTGGAAGCGGCCCTAGACAAAGGTATAATAAAGTGTAGGTTGTAGCATTTCCTTACATCGTGATATCGCCAAAGTTTACAAGCGCGTGATCTTTAACAGGCCAGGCACAACTGCCGGAAGACTTAGCAACCCTTCCGCACCAGCTCTCGATAGAATTGAAGCTGTACAGTGCACGGATGCCACCACGACAGCTCTGTGTTCTTCGAGTTTTGTCAACACGGCTGGTAGCCAATTGTGACGTCTAACGATGAGATAGCCGCTTGTGTTGTTCGGAAAGACATGTCTCGTTTCTTGAGCAATTTCGAAATCTGCGTGACTATTTTCATATGTGCCTCCGGATCGCCAGTAGCAGCTCTCCTTTTCTTAGGTGCCGGATCGCGTGAGACATAACTTTGGAACACCTGGAAGGATGAACCTTTAGACTGGAGAAACAAAAAAAAAAAACAAACTGGCCCCACAGATGGCATTGTTAACATTTTGCAGCAGGATGCTTGTTGCATGCTAATGGAGCATGTGCGCAGGTGCTTTCTGACAAAAAAATGAAAGCATTATCTGAAATGAGAGCCATGTTTGGATGCTACTCATCTAGTTCACTGACAAAGTTAATAAGTCCCTCGATATTTTGCAAAGCATTAGTACGACGATAAACATAATTTATAGTTTACTTGTACAACAATATCATAGTCTAGGAGATGTACTTCCAGCCTTTGGATTTGAGGGGCAATAAACCGAGTTGAAAGTTGCAAAGTGGACCAAAGCTTCTATCGTCTGTTCATAGGCCTCTAAGTTTGAATTCAGCTACAGCTTTACAAAGGCCGAAATTCTTGTCTTGGGGTCGTAACTCATACTCGCGGAGCCTTTCGGCAAAGCTTAAAGGCCCCGTCTCAGCTTCTTTTTCATATTTTCTAAGCAAAAAGGTCTGTAACCCTGGTCGATGAAAAAACAATCAGAAACATAAATTTAGATACGACCAACCTCAGACACATTCACCAAATCGTCTGACGGTGTGGTGGAACACCGGGCAAAGCCTCGATAAATACCTGAAAAGAAAACCATTAAAACCTTGCACTCTTGAAGCAAAAGCACAAACCTCCAGCAGCGATCGTGGGTGGATCATTCATTTATTTCAGCCCCAAGAATCAAGCATTTGCTGTACCACCGTGTGCTGTGGAAGTGACTCAGATCCTGAATTCAATGCCAAGTAGATCAATAAATCATCGCGAGCAACATGCATTATACGTACTTCTGTTACAGTCAACAACAGTTGCCCCGTATGCTGCACATCTCCTTGAGAAACTTTGTTTCGCACTTAGGCCACTGTCCGTTGAGATGAGCACGCAAAAGCTCAAATAGTGGTTTCAGCAGTCCTCTGCTGCAAATAACTGTAGCTGAGGATAATACAGTGATTCAAACAACAGCTTACCAGGCATCTATCTTTGTCATCCGCAATAAGAACTCAAGTAACGCTATGCTGACCTTTAATTCTTCACTCAGAGGGAGAATCAGCATGGGGTTGGGAGGTGAGTAACAAAGTCTATCCCATAATCTACTGTTTGGTGTCGTAGTTAGTTTATAGGTTCATAAATCAGGTCAATGTTTCGTATTTTCTATTTGCTTGCATCTTGGGAATAGAGAAAACCGAGGTATTTTGAAACAATGGCAAGGTCAATCTGTTAATAACAATAAGTTATCGATAAAATAGACCAACTATATACATGAAGGGCATCCTGGGCAGATGAACATTTGAATTGTTCGTTTTCTTGCAATCAGATAAACGGAAATCAGGGACAAATTATGCTGAAATTTAAACCACCAACCTGAAAGCTAGATTCAAGTCCATTGTAAAGGTCGGAAGATAGTAGATTCAAAGCCGACAGGCAACACAACGGCTGGATCACGTCCTGTAATCTGAAGGCCTAGAACAAATAACACATGAATAAAACATTACACTAAGAGCTTCAAGAAGCGTCCGCATCTGTTCCTTCCCCGAATGCAATACGGAAATATGCTCTACGTTTATCTGCAAATCAAAGGCATCAATGGCATCAGAAAAAGTATACTGTATAGCTCAACGATTACCTCCAGCAGATAATCGATTATATCTGTCTCTATATGTTTCAGTTTTCCTCGAGATGGTGTAGATGCTGCTAAATGGGCATTTGCACCAGCTAATTCTCGGCTGCAGTTGCCTTACTAGGGGTATAAGGCACGGCACGAAGCACTTCAAAGAAAGTCCCTGTAGATCAAAGAAACCGGTAACTGGCGTCACAAGGGATTCAACCCTGGAGTATAAATAATCAGAAACTTATCACATGTTCTTAGTTCCCTGAGCTTGCTTTTGTC